CCGGTTCGACCTAAAACCATATTGGCAATCAGAGAGGATTTTATGTTTGTCAATAAATGTATCTAATCTGTTATTAAAGAGTTTTTCCAAGATTTTTGAAAATTGTGACAACAGAGAAATCGGTCTATAATTTGTGAGGTTGTGTTTATCACCAGATTTATACAGAGGAATAACCTTTGCTATTTTCATATTATTGGGGAACTGCCCAAGTCGAAACAACATGTTAAAAATATGGGTTAATGGTTTACATATCCCCTCAATTACCCATTTGACAGTTGTCATGGTGATACCATCACTATCACTGGATGAAGGAGAAGGAAGATGTAAAGAGGGAGGAGAGTCATAGGAAACAGTCTCAGTACGGCCCCTGTCTCTTCCTGTTCTCTGACAGGGAAATACACCTATTGCCATTCTTGGCAGATGGATACCTTCATATATGTGTACATTAACCAGCTGGTTAGCAGTTCATTTAGCATAAAGATTGTAAACATGGGGAAACAACAGCTAGTCTGGTTCCATCTGCAGGTCACCACCTACCAGCACCTATAAAGCTCACTAATGTAACTTGTTATATGTCATTGGTTTCATGCACTAAAAAAAGACAAGACCCAAGACAAGACAGCACCCAGAGTCACACAGATTGTCATTTTTGCACAAATCAAACTAGATAAAATGTTGATTAAGGGGCTTTAGAGGCAGATTATGCTACTTTTGAACAACGCCAGGTTTCTAGTCTTTATCCTATGCTAAACCAAGATGATCAGCTGTTAGATGTAGCCTTATATTGAATGGGCAGAAATGAGTGTATCAATCTTTTCACCAAACTATCAACAAGAAAACTAATAGGTGCACTTCCCAAAATGTCAAACTATTCCTTTAAGAGACCCACAGTAGCTACTTCAGTAGGTTTCACTCCTCATTGTTTGTCTACATACAAGCCAACAGATCACCTCATCTAAAATGGCCTAAATAGTTTTTTTATTGAGCCTCAATCCCAAAATAATTTCATGTACGTCGTACTCGGATTAGGAACAGGGGATAACGGAAAATCCATGAAGCTGCAGTTGGTGCCGTCAGTTTGTTGTTTGGAAGTGGGAGAAAAAGTGTCGTTAAGCTCAGGGTTTAAGATAGAGCAGCCAGCTGCTATGGGCTATGGGCCCAGAGATGTCATGTGACCTCAAGGCCAGCTTGGCTGTGGCATTCAGCAAACAAAGGGTGGTCTGGCCTGTATGTCACTTTGTTTTTAATTTTTAGCAATAATACCAGTGGTGGAGAGGAAATGGATGGAGAACAACGCCGGCACAGGGAAAGCATGCAGACTTTGCACAGAAAACACATGCCTCTGGAACCTTCTTGTTGTGAGGCGACAGCGCTAACCACTGCTCCACCGTGCCGCCTGTAAATATCACAATGGAAAGAATGTGCCCAGGAGATTTCACCTTCTGACTCGGTGCCACTCTCTCTCACCCTCCGTTTTTTGTTTCCCTCCCAAATGTTTTCAGGAAGTGATATCCCGCATATCGCAGAGAGTCTGAGCCTCTGCTAATCTTGCCAGTTTCTTCATCACATAGGCATGCAGCGCTCTGAGTGTTTTGGCCCAGAAAGCCCGTGTGCAACCATCCTACATCTGTGCAGTTTGTCGGTTTGTGGAATGCTTGGAATTGCCTCCATGGCAACAGCTGGTGTGTGTGTGTGTAACGGTAAATATTGACACCACCTCCCCATCCCTGTGTCTGCCCGTGACAGGAGCATAGGAGGTGATTGGTACACACACTTTATCCAGGACTCAGCAAAGTCCTGCCATTGGGGGTGTGTATTTACCTTCCAAGCAGGAGCTTTCTGGGCTCACAGTTTGGTTTGGCATGCATGCCAGCAGCTTTATGACAAGCTCTCCACTGTATTACTTCATCTTAGCTCTTTGTAATGATCTGCCTAATTGGAAACAAAATGGGAAGTGTGGATAGATGCTAGGCAGTCGCTGAAACCTGTCTGGGGTAGTACCATTGTGCAAACACATCCAAGCAGCCTCCATTCATGTTTGCTGAAGGAGAAGAGCAACATTTGACTGCACCCAATGTTTGCTCTAGCTAGAGACCGGCCCACCTGTTGGGATACATGATGAGTGTGTAGTTACTTCATCAAACTGTGACTGTCTTGTAAAACGCTCCAGGTCAGGGGTGGCCAAGCCCGGTCCTCGAGGGCCGCTGCCCTGCCCTGCTGGTTTGCGGTAGGTCTATATTTGGAAAACCAGCAGGGCAGGGCAGCGGCCCTCGAGGACCGGGCTTGGCCACCCCTGGTCTAGGTGCTCACAGTGGAGGTTTTTTGCTGTTTTCCTACAAAAGATGGATTTGTTGAGACAGGATAAGAGAAATGCTCGGAGCAGCAGCAGCGGTTTGACCCGTCTGTCCTGTCTTGTCATCACAGTACTCGTGTTGTTTGCAGGCCCCAGATGGAATGTGATTAGTGTTCAGCAAATATGATGGATGTTGATAATCTGGACAGATCAAGCAGGGCTGGATAATGCTGTGATTGGTGGCTGGTGACGCAGGAGCCAAAGCCTCCCCACTTGTAGAAATTAGAGAGCATTAAGATGAAGGAATACATTCACCAGGCTGGCATTAGGATCACATGCACTCGCTCACACAGGCACAGATACTTAATGTATTTTCCCTGTAGACACACCCAGTGAACTACATCGGTTTCTGTTGTATGTAAAACCTTTTTGAGACGAGGCTTTAATTGGTCAAGTGTGTGTTTGTTTGCACTCTTGATTTTGACAGTGAGTCAGTTTATCCACTTCAGTTCGTGCTCTCCAGCGCACATGATCAGAGTACACACACACACACACACAATGTTAAACAGCTGATGTCTGCTAATGCAAATGCAGTAAAAACAGGATGTTATCTCCCTGCAGTCAGGTGCTGTATCTGAGATTCACTCAGCTAGAAGGAAAGACAATGTGCAGAGGAGGCCAATGGACACTGCGCACACAGGACACGGTTTACACAGTAGCTGCATTCAGGGTCATACTGTCTAGCTTTTGGTCTCTTATCTGATGCCAAATTTGCTTCAGCTTTTTACCTGCTCAAGTTTGGGTCATCACTGTCAGGTTGTCACTGAGCCTGGAGCGTAGTCGCTATCATCAGGGTGTGTTTCTGCTGGAGTCACATGACTTAGAAACAACCACAAATCCGGTCAGCACGGCATCAGATCATTGAAATATTCGGCAGCTAGCCAGCTACAAACTCAAATGTATTTACTTTATCTCAGATTCATGCATATTAAAACAGTGACATTCATTCTTGAAGGCAAATGTTACCTTGAGCTGTGTAATCAAAATGGGAAATTAGCTGTACAGGAGTAGCAAACGAGCTTTCAGACAGTTTCAAACTAAATAAAAAATCATTCTCACAGTGTCTCTAATGAAATTATTAATTGTGGCGTTAAGCTCCTTTAAATTCAGGCACAGAGCAGTGAGGCGACATGATTTCTATGGGAATTAAAGTGTAACATTAAAAAACACAAAACACAACCTTTTAGGGTCGCGAGTGATACGACAGGACCGACAATCATTTTTGCCTTTTTACATTCAGTGCTGCACATTCCTCTGTAGGAAGAACGCTGAGACTAATCACTTGCCCTTAGTGCTCAGTCATCAGAGGTGGACATGGGAACACTTGTTATAAGTGTTGTGTTAATATAATTGTGACCTTTAACCTGTTGCTTGAGGCACTAAAGACCCACGTATTAGACCACAGGCTGACAACAACAAGCACCGTGAGGCAGAAGTGAGGGGTCTACTGTAAATGTCATCATCACAACATGCAAGTCCTAACTTGCCTCTTCACAGAGCTGAGTTTCTCCGTCAGTATTACTTTGGGTTTGCTTCGGCTTCGCACTGGGAAATCTCTCATTATGCCTGCACACAGAACATCTGAAGCGAGCTTGTTCAAATTTGATGTCCGTGACTGTTTGATCCTTCCCCAAAGATGAAAAGGTTTTTTTTTTTTAAGAAGACTGTGTTGTTAGAGGAGATGGACCAGTGTCATGGTCCGGCCCTGACAGCGCTCCATCAGTGAAGCCTGTTAATGGATGAATGACACCACAGCCTTTCTTTCATTGCAATGAGACGATACCGTTCAAAGACCGTAATAGTTTTCTTTTCATGTCAAGTGAAAAATCAAGCAAAGCAGCAATTTGCAGTATCCTTTAGGAGGAAAACAAACCCTGCAGCAGTGTCTCCAAAAGCCCAGGAGACTTGAAGGATATGGAATTTATTGCCAGTTTTTATGGATAATTAAGCAAACCCCCCACCCACAAAGCCACACCACCGCCGTGCCAGAGAGATGTTCATGCAGTTCTGTCTCTCGCACTGTCACAGTACCTCAGCTCTGTTAGGCCAAAGTCAGGCTTTTGTGCCATTTAGTACCACAGAAGGTACACGCACAGACACGATTTCACTTAGTCGGCTGCAAAACATGTCATTGTTTGGCTTCTTTCTTTCCTTCAGTTCCATATTTCCTACTGATACACACTAGGGTGTGACAGCCTCCAAGTCACAGGCCACTGCTATGCCTTGATTATGTCACCAAAATGACTGACAAGAACCAGTAACAGCTTCACTATATTTCCCTTGTGTGGTTGGCGAACTATGCTCTTCTTTGTGCCACACATTTTCCACCATATGTCACTGCGTTGCTCTGACTGCGAGCTTGCCTGCTAGCCTGTGTATTGAAGCTTCTCTCTTATTTAAGACTGCTTGTGAATGAAAGTGGGCTCATAAACTGGATGTCTCCAAAACATGCGCAGGCTTCTGAATAGGTATAGTCAGGCCCCCGACGTGCACAGCAATAAAAACAAAATATATACAAGGAAGTTACATAAGAGAAGAAACCTATTTGATGTAAAACCGTGATACCGTTTGTCTTTTACAGTGCCTTCAAACTGAATTTCTGGAAGTTTGTATTTCATTTGCAGTCTGAGACTTCTGTTTTCTACAGGCCTTGGCCATGGGGGGATCCAAGAGTAAGCCTAAGGATGCAGGCCAGAGAACCCGAAGCCTTGATGGCAACCTGAGCTCTGGAGGAGGGAGTGGGAGCCACCACCTCAACTCCAATCAGCCGTCCTTAATACCCAACCGTAGCCCTACTATAGATGGAGGTCTCATTGGCAATCAGTCAATGACAAGTAATGCAGAGCTGACCCTGTTTGGAGGTGTGGACAGCAACAGTGCCACCTCTCCCAACATAATCACACTAGCAGGTGAGTGGTTTCTTGTGTGGCTTGTTTTGTATGTACAGTTTGCAATTAGCAAAGAAAAGAGAGAGATAACAAACGTTCTCGTTCTACCAGGAGGTGTGACGACCTTTGTGGCACTGTATGACTACGACTCTCGAACAGCATCGGATCTGTCTTTCAGGAAGGGCGAACGTCTCCAGATAGTCAACAACACGTAAGGAAAACAGAAAACGACCTCAGCTCCCTTTTTTAAGCACCTTTCTCCTCCGACCATGTCTCTCATACACATGTACACACAAGTCGACACAAGAATAATCCACAAAAAACTTCATACCCTGTGTGAGTGATGCAGAATAACTGCACACTGACGTGTCCACAGACTGTCTGACTGAGTTTCTGCTCATCGTCTTATTGCCTGAGCTGCACCCAGAAATGCATGTCACTTTTCATCTCTCTGAAAACTTGTGCAACAACAAGACTGGGCTTCTTTCAGCAGGGCTTTTTATGTGCATGTCAGCTGACACATGTTTCTGCACAAATATTGCTCCATTCACAAAAGCTTCAGTGAGATTGATTAGATCTCGTTGCTCAGTCCACCTCAGTAGGTCATTGTTATTTTTACTGCTACTGTAAATCCTGAGAGGTCCACACACTGGGAGACCTAGTTACTCATGCGGTGAACCATAAACTATAGTGCTGCACCCCACGAGCAAACTGCTGATGTAGAAGGCAGGAGCTGAAGACAATAGTGGATTATTGAGTATGGCCCCTTAAAGGTGGGGTTTATAAGATCTAGAAGGATTTATTAGCAGAACTGGGCTATAACATGCCCAACTACATTTTCATTAATGTGTGATCATCAGAAAATAAGAATTGTTGCATTTTCTTTAGCTTAGAATGAGTCTTTTATATCTACAGAGGAGCGGGTCCCCATCATGGAGGCCGCCATGTTGAGCCGCCGTGTTATTTTTACAATAGCCAAGTTTGGACAAACTGCACAGTGGTGTGAACTTTGCGCTTTTTTGTGGAAGTAGCAGCTTGGATTTGGAGATGGTTGGAAGATGAAAAGAAGCAATATTAGAAAGCAGGGGAATCATTTGTTTAAGAACTATAATTTGTTAAATGGAGGCTCGTGGTTATACTTTAACACAAGAAAAAGGAAGACGGCGTGAATCCCCGTGATTAAAGAAGCAAAGACACAAAGATACGGGATAATGTTAACTGTGGTCAAGTGAGACGTCGATTGAAATAACTCGGTCAAACCAGCTGCAGTTTGACCTTTGTTGCGCTTCTTTCCATGTAATTACGGTAAGGGTGCTTGGTGCGGCCAGGAGTCTGGCTCAGTGTTTACTAAGGGGCCTAATGAATATAATTGCATCATTACATGTCATACATGTGTATTTGGCCTTACTGAAAATTCCACTGCAGTTGAGTGAGCCACCATTAGCGTTTGCTTGTTTAAGTCAGCTTCATTTGTTTTCCGAGTGCGCAATTTGTCCTACATTTACTGTAATCGCTATGAAACAGATGTGAAGGATGTTGAACATGATGTACGAGAACGTTGCTGAATGTTGCAGTCTGCAACCTCACCGCTAGATGTCTCTAAATCTCACATACTACACCTTGACCTGGATCATTACCGGGTCTAGTACACCCAGAATCTATAAACCAGCTCTAAGATTAGTTAACGGGTTGTCATAGTGAAATTAGGTGTCCAACAGGCTTGTCTTGTCTGATTGGTCCAGTTAAATCTATCAGTATAGCAATGTGACCCTAAAGGGTTTAGTTATGACATGATGCTGCTGGTGTTTCTTTTAAGCCTCCCGTTCCCTCATTATTGTACCCACCCTAATTTCCAGGTTATGTGATGGTTTAAATATTTTAGATTCATATAGCTTGAACATATATTTTATGAGTCTGTTCTGTGTACTCTGCTTTTCTGCCACCGCTCATAATGTGATCTATCTCTGTAACCCCCTTCTTTTTCATTATTTCCCTTCCATTTCTCCATCACAAACCATCCTCATTTATAGGAGGAAGTTGAACTGCAGGTTTGTGAAGCTTCTCTGAAACTGTATTTGAATGCACTGTTTTTTCTGCTTGTGTGTTTCTGTCACCTGAAGCACTGTATTACTGCTCTACTAGAAAAGCACAAACCACATAACTTTGCCCAGGACACCCCCCGATCACGCCACACAATAGAGAATGTGAAGGTACGTCATGCCGTGTTGAATGTTGGGAGGGAGGAGCTGTGTTTACCTGCACACAGTCTTGTTTTGTTTGGCTCTAAAGTTGCTTAAATCAGTTAGATCTCACTTACTGACTGTGATCATTCAGAATAACCTCAGCTGACTGTATCTTACTCTTAGGAGGCCTAGGGATCCCGACGACAAGAGCAACAGACTGAAAAGTTATCCTGAACCCGGATCTCAGCTCTCGGTTCAGGAGCTAACACTAGCTAGCAGCTGTCGGCTGATGACACAGACGCTGCAGACGAATCGATTTCTGTCCCGTCTGTGCTCAAACTGAACAGTAAAGTGGACGTTTGGACGTAGTTGAAGCATCTGCTACTGAATGTAGCCGTATGAGATGGTGTTTATGTTTTAAATTAACTTCATTATGTATGTAATGTATATCTCTGTGATGGATAATGAGCATTTATCCAAAATTCAACCTGGCGTGATAACAGCTTCACATTCTCTACATTTAAGGGGCGGCTTGTTGTAGTTTTGCAGCATTATAGTCAATTCGGGTCAACTGGAGGCAGTTGATAGCAGCAAATCATAATCTTACTTTAAATTCTCCAAGTGAATCTAGTGCAGCAAAGCTACAGCAGCTCAGTCCCTTATAAAGTGTAGGATACCACCACCATCCCTTCCTGTTGTCATATCCACATGAATGCATGCTTCTCTGTATAATTACAAAAACTTAAAACAGTATTATTTTTTGAAGAAGAGACACTTAGGCTTGGGTTTTATCAAGCTTCTACAGGAGGTCAGTTGCTGTAGGAACTACTTGATCTGAATTACTGTCGTGGATACGATCAAAAACACCAAGTGGATGTTGGCCCTATATCACTCTGTTTATACTCTGAGACACTTGATAAACACCAGCCCTTTTAAAGTCGTAAAGTCTGCTTTATTAGTGCTTGGGTGTGTGATGAGCCTCGCTGAAGTTGTGTGTCACCACTTCATTGTTGCAGAGAAGGGGACTGGTGGCTGGCACGCTCCCTGACCACTGGAGAGAGCGGTTACATCCCCAGCAATTATGTGGCTCCATCTGACTCCATCCAGGCAGAAGAGTAAACCCTTTCATTTTTTCCTTTTTCTGTCTTTTATCTGTTTTCCACCAGGCACATGGAAGAATTAACACTCAGATTTTTTTAGACATGTCAAACCTTCTGTCTGTATGTGAATTTGAAACAAACTTTGAAAAGACCAGTTTGATATTTTGGGATATATTCATGTTTGTTTCCTTGGTAAGAGTTAGATGTGAAGATCGATACCACTCTGCAAATAAGAGGCTACAGCCAGCAGCTGTTAGCTTAGCGTAAAGACCAGAAACAAGGATAAACAACTAGGCTGACCCTGTCCAGGGGTTAAGAAATCCACCTGGCTCAACCTGTTACTGTTCAACATGTTACTCCCGTACCAGGCTATATCTTGGCCGGGCACAGTAAGAGTCTCTGGAGTCTCAGCTGGTTGCTTGGCAAGACACCAGGAAGTGACTGCCCCCTGCTTCACAATCTGCTCTTAGCTGGTGGATTTTTGTGGCTAGCTGTCTCCTCACACTTTCCTGTTTTCATGCTGCCTGCTGTCTATAGCTTCATATATACCATACAGACACGAGAGTGGCATCAATCTTTTTATCATAGTCTTGGGAAGTAAATGATTGTAATTCCCACAATTTAGAAGCATGTGTTTAATTACTCTACTGCTTTCTACTCTTGGCAGACACACATTGCAGATTTTTACATGCCAACCTGCTTGCTTATATAATCAAGTCACACAAACTGACCTTTCATAACAACTCAATTTCTCACTTTTGCCTCTTGCGCCACCAGTCATCTCAGACTGACTCTAGAGTCCAGGTAAGCAGCTGTTGCTCTGTAGGCATTTGTATGTATAAGGCATTAGTATGTTTTGCATCTGGCATTGGCTCATGCAAAGACAGGATTGTACTTTGTGAAACTATAGGTAGTTCTTACTTCTCCTCTGCCCTCTTCCTGTACATCTTCTCCCCTCAACAACCTGCTGCTGTGTGTCCCTGTGTTTGCTCTCTCGACATCACCAGGTGGTACTTTGGCAAAATCACACGCCGTGACTCTGAGAGGCTGCTGCTGAGTTTAGACAACAGGAGAGGAACTTTCCTGGTGAGAGAGAGTGAGACCACCAAAGGTGAGTGTGTGGGCCCTTATATAAAGAGGTAAACTCAGTGTTAGGTTTGTCTCGACCAAAAGGCTGCACTTCTTGGCCATCAAGTTCTGAAAGTGGTCAAATGTTGATAGTTGACACAAAATGCTTGGTTAGAGCCCTAGTCCTGTTTACTTTGATCAGCCATTTCCTAATAAGAATCACAATTCATTTTCTACTACACTTACAGTATCTAGGCAAATACTGAAGAGTACTCGACCAGATTTCTTTCCAGCAGCTAGAGGGTCTGTCCCCTCTCGTCCTGTTTCCTGAAGCTACAGTGGGAACTACAGTCCAAAGCTAGTGTTAGCAGCACCGCAGTGGCACAGTGTCATGTGATAAGACAGTTTATGATCCATACTTATGACCAGAGGTTGCTCTTGACTTTCTCGTCCGTCATTTTCATGGACAGTCATAACAATTTCTGTCATAATTTATTATTACCGGTAAATTTTCATTTAATTTTTAAATCATTAATATACAGTATGGAACAAGCTTATGTCAAATCAAATCAAATCAAATTTTATTTGTATAGCACCAAATCACAACAGAAGTCATCTCAGGACCTTACTGGATCTCTAGACCTTACTGTTATCAATATTATTACATAGGGAAAACCCAACAAATCCCCCTTGAGCAAGCACTTGGCGACAGTGGGGAGGAAAAACTCCCTTTAACGGAAGAAACCTCCGACAGACCCCGGCTCTTGGTGGGCGGCCTTCTGCCTCGACCGGTTGGGGTGAGTGGATAGAGGAGAGACAAAAGAAGAAAAGCAACAAGACACAACAA